AGCTTGGCTTTTTGCTGTACCCAAGGCCTGCAGTGATACCTGCAGAGGTCTCTGCTGTGGGGAGGGAGCTGAGCTGTGTTAAAGCATCGTGCTCTGGTTTTTGTCTGTGATGTTTCATGTATTAAGAATGAAAACTGGGTGTGAATCTGGTGCTGTGACTGCTGCATTTGTCCTTCATTTTGTGAAAATCTCGGAAAAAAAGGTGCAGCTTTTCAAGCAGGATGTGATTATCAGTGGTGGCTGAGGCAAAGGTTTGCTGCTGCCAGAATCACAGGCTATTCCTTCTGCCTCCTACATCTGTGGGACTCAGCCCACACGTTGGAAAACACCTTATTCCTGCTACAACTGGGTACAAACCCAGCAAAAAAGTTAAATAAAGAATGGGCACAGGATCTTCTGTCATTTGAGTGAAATAAAAAATACTCTGTACGATTGCATGGCAGCTCTAGAGCATCAGGAAACTTTGTTTATCTGTTTGATAGCCACAGTGTAGGTGCCTGCTGGAATAACATTTGGCAGGACTAGTAGGGCCTTTCCATTACTTCAGGCCTGAGGAATACTTACACTTTTTAAAATGACTATATTTTTTAAGTGTTTATTCCGAATTTGTGCTGCTTCACAGCTTTTCCGTGCTCTGGCTGCAATAGCAGAAACAGGGCTCGCCACAGGATTGAAGCAAAAGGTTTGCCTTTTCCAAAGGAAATCACTTTTCATTTCAATCTTAGTCAAACTTTGGACATGGTTTTTCTAATGATTTTGGATGAAACACCACCAAAAATCCTGTCTGGCCAGCTCCAATAGCAAGTGCAAAAATAGAGCTGTTAACACGATACGTGGTAGCTCTGACAGCAACAACCATTTCCTTTTTGTGTAATATTACAAGAAACCCAACACTGAACATGTTTTGAATGAACTGACACTTTTTGCACTTCATAACACTTTTTACACATGAGGTCACTCTACACTCTTGCTTTAGGGCAGAAAAATACTATTTCCTGACGTGACAATGAACATGGGTTCTATACAGTCCTGCCAGAGCTGGGAAGGAGCCCAGAGCACTAATAACAGAAATCTTGGCTTTTTAACCACACTCACTGAGTTGGAGCTCAAGACATGCTGATTGAGCTCTTGTAACCAATAACAACATGTCCTGTTTGCCCTAAACCCCGGGATCTTTCATGGGAGGACAGTCAGGGGTTGTCCCTTCCCCTCTGGTGATTGTGTTTGTTGTAGAAGTTCCTGCTGCCCCTGTGAGCCGAGTGAGAGCAGCTGTGTGCAGCAGGGCTGCAGCAGCCCTGGACAAGGTGGGGACTGGATTTCACACTGTGGAGACTCAGCAGGCTTAAGGCTCCTGCATTTCATGTTTCCCTGTTGGATTTGGTGGAAGGAAGCTTATGCTAAGATAATTACACTGTGATGGCTGAATATCATCTTTGCTTCCTCACGGATCAAACAATAAATGGCTTTATTGTATTTTTATACTCTCTGTATTACTGGTTTCAGTAGAATTTGTATTGAATTGTAGAGAGAAGCCAATTATTCCTTTCTGTTGTTGTTTTTGCATGAGGCCCTTCTTCTGTTCCTTAGATGCTTCTTGCCAAGACATGATTCTTTTCTTAAATTAGCAAAATGCAGTGCAATTAAAAATTGCTTTGCATATGTGTGGGGAAGTTCAGGAAAATATTGGGGCTCTGGTACCATGTGCTCGACTGTAATATTTAAACCTGTCATAGCTAGTCCAGCCGTTCTCACACTCTGTTTTATAAACTGTGCCACTCAGAGAAATAAATCAATATTAACCTAATAGTCGTAATACTCACATATTTCAGTGGAACAAGAGCAGTCTAAATCCTCTGGGTCATTCTGCAGCACCGAGGTGCCCACAGCTGTCTGAACACTTGTGTAGCAACTTGTGTAGCTCAGCTATATTGTTGTTTGCTTCATTACTTTAAAGCAAGATTTCATACGGCTGTGGTTCCTCATAAATGCTTGGCATTATTTTCTGACAAAAATCAGTACTTTTCTCTCATCAGTCAGCTAATCCAGCCTCAGATCAAAGCTGCACAGTCTCAGTTACTGGGGCACAATACATGTTGGAACAATTTCTAGTAATTTTGGCAAAGTCTTAGAGGAAGTGAAGAGCGATACAGATTAACTGAAAGGGCTGCACATTCCCTTAGATGATCTGGAAAACAAGACTTCACACCAGAAGGTAATTGCAGTGAGCATCCAAGAGCTAATACTTTTTTTTACCTCGTGCTGCACTAAGGAAATTTATGCCTTTATTTATTAGCCTCAACTTCTCAAGCTCTGATCTTATTCTAAACCAGCTTGTGTATCGCAGCAGAGAAAGAAAACTCTCTTCATGTCACACCAATTATTTGGCCTCACCAACTGGCAGTTTTTTCTCTGAACAATTGCAGCGTTAATGAAACTTCAGTCTTTGTGGAAAGAGCTCTGTGAGCGAGTTATGTACGTTAAATGGAGAAACAACAAATTCTAGCTCTGGAGGGTGGAGTCGGCCCCTGTTCCTGGGGTTCATCTGTCCCGTGTCCCCAGGGATTGATCCCAGCAGCCTCTTTTCCCTGTTTTCCCTGGAGCAGGGGCCGTGCTCGGCGCAGCCTGAGAACGCCGCGGCCGTGCTGGCTCGCGTAGGCCTCGCCTGCCCGTGTGAACAGATTCCAGCATTCCTGGTCAGTCCCAGCCACGGAGCAGGAAGGTTTTGCAGGAATGTTTTACTATTGTGTTACTGGGTGCTGATAAAGCTCACAGGCTTTTTATGGTCAGGGCCTCAAAGTGGCAGTTCGTGTTTGGGCGATAAGGAGACAGAGCTTTGGCTATCTGGCTCAGCCTTATTATCTGTAACAGGGACCCGCGGCTGAAATCCCTCCACAATGACAGGAACCCCAGCTGGAGTGACGGCTTCCAGGCCCCGAGACCAGATACCGAGCCACTTTCCTTCCTCATGAGTCAAAGCAGAGTTAACCCCATTGTTAGCAAAAATAACCCCCCAGCAGTCGCCAAGAGGAAGGAGACATTTTTGTATTTAAATCTCTTCCTTTTTGCTCAACCTGGAGTATCATTTCCAGGCAGATCCGTGGGGATGAACTGGCAGCCTTGCACTTAAAAGCTTTCATGGATTGCTCGAGACCTCCGAAAGGAGCTCTAATGAAACTCCTGAGCTGCAAGACTTAAATTGCTTTAACGTGTTTATCAAAGGAGCTGAGCTAAAACTGTGTGTAGTTCTTCAAGTCCTTTCTTTCCAGCACCTAAACCCAGGCTGTAATCCTGCCCGGGCACTGCGTCCGAGCGCCGCGGGGAGACACGCGGATTCTATTTCCAGAGCCCTGTGGGTTGCAGGGGTTAAGTGTAATCCAGATTATACAGTGTTAACATTTCCCCCCCCTGCTATCAAAGTGTAGCAGACTGGCAGGCTGACTTGTTAGGAAGGGCTGGGAGAGGGATAACAGGCTCCGACCTTGAGAGGCCGAGCAGCAGGGCCTTGTATGGCCAAGTCGGCGCACGTGTCCAGCTGATTGGTTGGAGGAGCAGCATCGGAGCCGTGACAGGTGCTGGAGGAACCTACACCTGTTTTCCCCATATGCTGATTTAGTGATTACATTTTTGTGGGAGTTCCAGATACTGTGTGGGATACACAGAGCAAGCCAAGAAACTTGAGAAGGAATTAGAGCTTCTGGTGAACTGTGATATTAAAGAATTTCAGACGCCGCAGTTGAATTTTCGATTCCTGCTTTAAAACTGCTGCAGGAATTAGCAGTGTTTTGTGTGTGTATAAATAGCAAGAGTCTCGTGTGGCTTTTATTGTGCTAAAAATTGGTAGATAGTAAAAAAAAAAAAAAGCTGATGAATACGGTAAACTAAAACGTATTTTATTAATCAGAATATCTGTGCGTTACGGAAATTGCTTCTATAGAGAAACATGGAATTTCTTTATGGTGCTGGGAATGTCAGCCTGCAGGTTTCTGGTCTCTAGGGGTTTTAGTGTATAATTCATGGCATATAGATGTTTTCTCACAAAAAGCAAGAACACAACCCCCTCGTGCCTGTGTAGTCCTTCTGCCTTATGTACTGATAATGTGTAACTGTCTAAAATCTATATTGCTTTCTTTTTGCTTTTTAAAACATTTACGATTTTTCCACAGGTAATATTTTAAATCTTGTTTTGTTATAAATGAGAACTTGCAGAGGAAGATTTCTGATTGTGTAATAGGGGGAAAGAGGAAAACAAGGAATACAAATCTATCTTAAAATTCGGTCACGAGACCTGGAGTTTCACATCCTTCCTTTAATGCCTAGATTGTAGACAAGCTTATTTTTTTTTTGCTCCCAGGGGATGCTGATGTGAGTTCTCCATCAGAAAACAGGAAGTAGCCTAATAAAAAGTTGCATCAGGTTACTTTAAAGGAGTCTGAAAAAGCTTATATTTAGCAAACGAAGTCATTTTAGAGAGGGATTATGTAATTTCTTTCTATACTTGTTTGCAGTTGTTGTTATCATGCAGGATGGCACAAGGGCAGGAAGCTCCTGCCTTTATCAACTGCTGACACTGAGGGTTATGTACATTAACGTCCTGCAGTTGTTGGATTGGATCAAAAATTTTAGCCATTCTGTTTCTCAGAATTTCACTGTATGTTCCTTAAAATATGAATATTAAATTGGGATGCTCAAATCAATTCATTTAAGATCCAATGAAGTGGCTTTTAATTACCAGCGATGACATGGACTCCTTTGCCACAGGCTGGAATATTCCTTGTCAGGCAACTTCACTCCATCACCCAGTGTCTGAATATGGTTTTCCATGGAATGTGGGGAGATGAAGTGGCAATAGCTTAAAGCCACCTGTGAGGTGGCACTGGGAGAGTCTGTGCCCTGGGTGAACCTTTGTTCTTTGTGTACTTTGCCTCTATTTTGTCTGTGAAATTTTGATGTAGTTTCAGGGGCTCTGAATGAGTAGTATACAAAACTTCTTGGCAAGTTAGTATGATCTGTATGTGAATTTTCCAATTGTATTTCAGACCTTAAGAAAGAAAGGCCTTAATGGTTGTGAGAGCCCTGATGCTGACGATTACTTTGAGCACAGTCCACTATCGGAGGACAGATTCAGCAAACTAAATGAAGATAGTGATTTTATTTTCAAGCGAGGCCCTGTAAGTACTTTTATTTTCCCTCTACTTTTTATTTGTTGATCCTTTTTATTAACTTCATTATTTAGGCTCTGAACAAGAAGGAACACAGAGGCTGCGACAGCCCGGACCCTGACACTTCCTATGTGCTCACGCCACATACAGAGGAAAAGTATAAAAAAATTAATGAAGAGTTTGATAATATGATGAGGAATCATAAAATCGCAGTGAGTACTACAGTCTGGTTTGTGCTTCTATTACCTGCATGAGAATTATCCTGGTCTTTGCTTCCCACTGAAAACCACAAGACAAGAGGATGTGATGGCTTGAGAAGGGAACACGTTACTGAGGAAAAACGAGACCTTGTTAAAATGCATTTTATCCTAAAGAGTAAGAATTATCTCCAGCTTCTGTTTTGCACTCAGTTTTCCATACCTTGTGAACATGAGATAACATTTCTAAATTCCAGGAGCCTCAGTGCATTATCTAATCCCACCTAAAATATTGTTACAAAGATAGATTTCTGCTGTGGGATGTTGAATCATTTATTTACATCTTGTCTTGATTTGATCAAGATTTTACAGTGTGTTACAAGCAGGCAAAGAGAATTGGATTAATTTTGGCTTCCAATTAGTGGAATTAACTTTTGCTTGCTTCTGGATGTAGAAGGGTATTTAGATGCTTAAAGATGCACAATGAGAGGCTCAAAAGATTGCTGATTTCTCCCTCTGAAATTCTAGCAGATAATTCCTTGGACACGGAAAGATGTCTGAAAATTTTCCCCCAAGTGCCTAACCCATGTGCAGCCATAAGTCACTTGGCTCCAGAACTTCAGTCTGGGGAGAACAGTGGTGTTCATCTTGCTTAACAGGGGTGTTCACCATGGCACTTAACTTCCATCTACAAAAACCAATTAGTGTAGAGCATTACAGGGGAAGTGTTTTCTAAGAAAACTCATACAGGGCTCTGCCACAGCCTTTGAGATTTTTAACCTGGCAAGTCTTGTAGCAGTTGAAGGAAATGGACTGGCTAGGTTAATCAGCACAGATCCTGGGGCAGCTGAGCAGTGTCTCCGATGACTTGCTGGACCCGGAAATGATATCATGGTTCAGGGCAATAAGGTCAACTCTGGGGTCTGAACAGCAACCCGACACCCAGCATCACTTCTGTTAGCACTTCATACTCAAATGAACCCGGAATCTTTTGGTTTTGCTTCGTTTTGAAGCTTTTGCTGTCCAACATTTCTGTGCTGAGACTTCTTCAGGCCTCATCTCTCAGTATGTTCCAGCTCAATTGCTCTGCCTTGATTTTCAGAGGTGAACAGCCTAAATGGACATCAGTTTAAATAAAAATGGCAGCATTATTTTTTCGCTCTTTAGTTCTGTATTTCTACCTTCAGTTTGACCTAGTGTGTTTCTATTTCCAGTACTTATGGGACTGTATAAGAACACAGTTTCTCCTGTTCTCTTGCACTCATTCCTGTCAAAGGATAGGAATGAGGCAAAGCGTGAAGGGTTGTAACCAAATGAGCACCATAGATGGGCAGAGGCAGCCTTCAGTGTAAGGTGTGGGGGGATAATAAGCTGTCATTTATTAGCTCTGGATTGAGAAAGCTACAGAGAAAATATCCCAGCTGTTAGCTTCTAGCATTGTGTCAAGCACACTTCAGGTATTTCCAGTTCAGTTTGAGCTCCGTGACAACCTTTTTTGGGAGATACTGAATAGTCTCTTCAGTAGTTTCCTAAGCAAACAAGTGCCACAGTATGGCTTGTCATTAGTTAGATACTGTGAGTGATTTGCTAGCATTACATCATTAGGCTTCATTACTTTTTCCTTCCATCTCTGCCAAAAATTGATAATTATTCTTAGAGTGCTTCAGGAGGGACATTGTCATTGGCTCTCACTAGGGAGAGATTTTGTTTCTGGTAGACAATGTATTCTGCTCTTTGAATTTGTATAATTATTGCTATATTTCTAGTATTATCTACATTTTCATGCAGAAGTATCATGCTAACTGAATTTTGAGATGCACGTGAGGAAATTGCATCTTTTTAAGAACACTTGCTATGCCATGAGTGTTGGTCATCTGCATTTGACCTCTAAATCAAAACTATTCTCTCTCTATTCTGTCAGTAAATACTACTGGATTTTTACCCTTAAATTGTACCTGTCATGGGTTTGTTTCCAGTAATTATGAGAGTTGTGAAAGAAAATAGTCCCTTTTGTTGCAGAAACTCATCACTGTCAAAGGATAGGAATGAGACAAAGGCCAAACAAGTTAGTCATGACCAAATGAGTACCATAGATGGGCAGGCAGCTCAGCTTTTGCTTCAATGGCTGCTGAATAACAAACATATATACTTCACAGAACCAGTTGCCTTTTCAATAAAGCTGTAAAAATGAGAATTTAACAAATGAGATTTGCAAAGGAGATGGAGTTGGGTGTTCAGGGAGGGGTTTGGGAACCTGAAATGTGTTTACATTCAATTGCTGAACTTGGTGACTTTCTGAAGATCTGTTTACATTTTTAGTCTGTTGGAAAAGAAGGTTTTGGAGATTAGTAGCAATATTTTTGGCAAAGTTGTTCATAAAAAATGTTACTAACTTTTTCTTTTTTGTGTAATAACTGACTGTTTTGTAACGTGCATGTTGGTGCTTACATTTGGAAGGTACAACGGTTCATTGATTTGTAGACATGTTTAGCTTGTCATTGCTTTGTAATAATCCACATTAACTGGTTAATTTGTTGTATTTATGAGCTTGTGAATTCATGTGAATATTTTCACTTTTCTGTATTTGAACTCTGAGTATTTAGAAGTTTGAATCATTCTTTTGGAACTGTATTTCTGTGATGTACAAGAATTTAACACTGTGCTTTACAACCAATGGATGTTTCAAATTGTATGCTTAATAGTGTTTAAAAACTAACATGATTAACTTCATTTTAAAAAACAACAACCTGATTACTCCTTGGCAAACTTCAATGTGTGTTTTATAATGTGCTATTTCTGCCAACGCAGTTGATTCTAATGGTGGTGTCTTGTGTGTTCCTCATCTCTCCTCCAGCCTGGATTGCCTGCTCAGAACTTCTCCATGTCGGTTACAGTTCCAGTGTCCAATCCCAACACTTTAACCTACAGCAACCCAGGGAGCTCCCTGGTGTCCCCATCCCTGGCAGCCAGTTCATCCCTGACGGACACGACCATGCTGTCACCCCCTCAGACCACCCTGCACCGGAACGTGTCCCCTGGGGCTCCCCAGAGACCACCGAGCACTGGCAACGCAGGTGAGGCCTCAGGACTCCTGTGCTTTCCTGTTAGACCCCTTCCTACCCTTTTGGTTGAAACCCACAAACCAGCCTCCCAAATTCTTAACAGTCTCAGTGCATTTTCACCCCTTTTTGCTGCACAGCTGACACAGGACTGTGGCAGGACACGTTTAATGCTGTGGCTTCCTTTGATTAGGTGGGATGCTGGGGACAGCTGATCTCACAGTGCCAAATGGAGCTGGTACCAGTCCCGTGGGTAAGTGCAGTATCATGTCTTTGCTGACAATAGTAGTATTGTGGTTTCAGTTTCTCAGCAACTCAAAAGCAATTTTTTATTTTGACTCATTTGCAAAAGTGTTTGTGGGAGAACAAAGGTTGTAATTTTTTTAGTTGCCTTGTAATTGTCAGGTTTGGTAAATTCTCATCAGGCCTTTAACTTATTACTGCTGTGCCCTTTCCACTTCAGGAATATTTGCATTTTGTGTTTTAGTGGTTTTCAGCAGTAGCACACTGCTCCTGCTTTTGTGTGTCTCTGCAGGGGTAATTACAGCACTCGCAACAGATCTGATGTTTGCCAAATTTATTACTTTGTATGAAATTCACTGCACTTACTGAACTATTGCACTAAAGGCAGCTCAGCTCTGTTCTCAACTCGAGTATTCCCAGGGCCTGGGCGTTTGGTACTGGTTGTGATGCCAATCAAAATGGAGCAAATACAGACTCTGCTGTTTGTATTGCCATGTGTATCTTGCTGACTATCTTCTAGCAGTATAGACAAAGAAAGCAATAAATCTTGGAAGCTGATAGCTCTGGTCTGTCTTAATTTTGGAAGATGATCAGAATTTCTTTTGAAAACAAATTAGAGATCTTGCCAAAAATGAAATTCACAGTATTTTTTGGTCTTCGGTAAAAATACAGGGAAGTACTCTGATTGAAATAATATTTTGTCTCCCCTGAACAAAATTTAGCCCTCGTGTTCCTTCTGTGCCTTTAGATGTCTTGGGGGCTGAAGGTCAGTGTTGCACATACAGGTCACCCCCTCAGTACCTGTTTGTGGGTAGGAATTGGAGAGGCAACTGTTGACCTTTCAGTATTTGCCCACTGGCTACTTACTATGGCAACTGGGATAAAGTTCTTTGAACATCAAGTCAGGCAATTGAGTTGATGAATAAAAAATGCTGCAAGTCCAAGGCTGAAAGCACAGGATTGACTTTCCCCTCTTTAGCCATTCTTTCGCTATGTGCAGTAAAGATATGAAATATTCAGGAGTGGTTTCCATCAGGTAAGCAAGATTTTAAATGGAGGAAACTTCCTCAGTTGGAAAGAGATGACTATTTTTAGAAACTGTGGAGGTCAGATGTTGCTTTCCATAGTATTTCTCAAGGCAGGCTAAATAAGTTTATTATCAGGCTGTTTCAGGCCTCTTTCCCAAAATCAGGCTTTGGGAACAGCAGCCTCAGATTTAAGGCTCCTTTGGATAAGCAAATAAACAGTTGTTTACAGCACTTGCTGTAGGGTATCAAACTGCAGAAACACCCAGTTACAGCAGCTTGGTGAACATATTTGATGCAGTAAAAGGTTTTCCTTCTTACATTTATTAATAGTTTATGTAAAAAGTCAAAATGCATCACTTATCTCTTGCTTTCCAGCACATCACACCCAAAATGTTATACATATACCCACTCACTTCTAGAAAGGTTTGTCATGCAAGTAAGAGTTGTGGCTGTGCAAGAACAGGGGATCATCTTTGAGAAGCACCTCTAGTGAGGCTCAAATTCCTGGTTAGCCTCAGGGTGATTATCAAAACCAGAGTACCCAGAGCACAAGTTGTGGCGTAAAAGCTTTTAAATACTGACAGATGCAGAGTTACAACCAAAATCAAGAAACCATTTGTAACCAGATTGAGTTAATCTGCTAACTTGTCAGTTGGAGCTTGACAGCTGCTGTGAGATGTATATTGCGTTAATTATGTCTGCAGACAATAATGGGTTCAGTTTCTTGCTGCATTTGGTGGAGAATTCACTTTAAAAATCTATTTTCTTCTTTTAGCTTTCAGGGTTTTGTTTTTTTTTTGTGAAGCTTCTCAGGAATGGAGAATTCTCCTGTGGATGTAGCTGTGAAAGGTCATGTGCCAGATTTGCAGCTCACAATTGATAGGAATGATGTCAGATGTAAAGATGGAGTCCTGGCATAGCCTTATTCCCAGATACTCCCTTGTAATAAAGGGAAAACCCATCTTTGACATTAGGAGGTTTTTTGTGCATCTGAGATTTTGTACTCATTTCCTCGAAAGATACTTCGATGCCTTTATCTCTGAGCAAGAAGCAAGTAAAGGTTATCTTGCTTATTTGGGACTCAGTTCAAACAAAGATGTTGCATAAAATGGCTCATACTGAGTTCACATGAGTCGTTTTCTCAAGTCCTGTGTAACTTGATTGGAATGGAAATGATTTGCTTTAGCAGTCAATCTGCCAACTTAACAGTTTTTCTGTGGAAAATAACTTTGAGTAAAAATATCTGTGTGTTGTAGCAAAGATTGGTAGGTGGTTTTTTATATCCAGAACAGAAAATTTTGTGATCACTTTATAATACTGAGTGAGAGCTTCCTTCACATGCAGCTGTCAGAACTCTGAAAAAGCATTTGTGTTTTGTTATATTTTTAAAGCTCTACCCACCACATCAAAATCATTTGCTGAAAATTTTTACTTGGCAAATAGATCAGTTTTTAGAAGGGGGAAAATGTCCATCAGTGTAACAGTGTTTGCTTTAGAGCTGATTTATTTTTAATGCTAATTAGAGCCAATGTTTTTGAGCAAGAACTTTGATGATGCTGTTGCCCCTGGTCAGTGTTAAACCCTGTGCAATTTGTGATGGGCATCAGACATGCTTCAAGAGTCTCATATCACCAGGATGTGTCTAACTTGGTATTTGTTGTCAGCATCATCATGGTTGAACAGACATTGCATGTCTGTGTTAGTCCTCTTAAAAGGCTGTGGCTTCTAATCAGGCAAAGCAGAGCCTCTTGTGCTCTGAGCACCCAAATGCAGGGGGAGTTCCTTTGACTTTGAACTGAAAGGACTTGATGGATGGATGAATCACCTTCAAATTTGCCATGAGGAGATCTGCCTTGCTGTGTTCCAGTAGATTATACTTTGAATCATATTATACTTTGAATCATCCTGAGGTTGCCAATAAAGTGCACTTCCAATGACCTTGGCTCATCCTTGAGGACTCTGAGAATTACAGAGGCTCGAAAATGCCACCATGTTTATCCAGTTTCTGCTTTTTCTTCCATATCTCTCACATATGGCATTGAGCCAGCACCGTGGCAAGGACCTGAGCTGGTTTTCATTGCCAAGGCTGCATGAAAACCATGAACCCTGAGACCTTTTGACTAAGATGAGTTCCCTAAGTTCTTCCCAGGCCCAGGTGATTTTAAAGGGGCTGTTGTAACTGGAGGCTCTTTATGATTTGACAAAGGCACAGCTTTATCTCTCTGTACATCTCTTTGTCAGTGAAGTAGCCCTTCTGGTGGTCAGTCATGCAGGTTATGGACTCAAGTCATCTTCTGGGAGATTATCTTTCCTCTCACAATTTCATCATCAGAATGGATAAGAAGGATCTAAGTCAGCTTGTACTGAACTTCTCCTCTTTGTTCCAGAGCTGTATCTCCTCTGATGCCTTCAAAATCTTCAGATTCTGAGACCGTCAAGTAACTTTGCATATTGAATATTGGAATATTGAATTTCTTTGAACAGAGCTGAAGGATAAACCTGCTTGAAAGGCTGTGTCTTGTGAGCTGTAGGATCTCTGCTAAGAGTCAGTGTAGATCATGTGTGGTCTCTGATCCTGGCCCCAGGAAGGATTATGCAGAGGTGCCACTGACAGCTTGCACGCACCTGCGAGCTGCTGGTGGCTGCCAGAAAGGGATCAGGACAGAACTGTGAAAAGCCACACCTGTAAATGGTTCCCTTTGTCTTGAGGGCTTGGCTGATGGGGAGAGCTTTTTCTGCATGTTTGAGGATAAAAGAATCTTTGAGCTTGGTCTTTCACAAGTCTGAGTCAGCACACTGCAATTCTGGAGTGCACCAAGGCTTCAGTAACAAGGCTTTCTGGGCATACCTTTCTAGTCTTGCTTTGCTTGTTAAATGAGAGACACCACAATGAGAAGAATTCAACCAACTCTGGAAGAACACCTGCTAAATTTTCAAGAAAAATCCCTGCATTGGTTCTATCAGTCACTTCCTTAAGAAAACAGCTTTCTTCTCCCTCCACCCCTACCCTCAAACTCACCAGCCTGTTTCACCTGCAGCAGCTCCAAGGCTTGGCACTGTGGTAGGCAACCACCTTAGGGAAGCAGCATTTAACCTTGAGCATGTTCCTTCTTCAGGTTGTCCATTCCTGGTGGTATTTCTGATCTGCTGTGCTTCTTCATTGTACCAGGTGGTATCTGCCCAGGGACTCTTCCACCAGTCACAGCTCCTCACTTCGCAGCCTGCATTGAAAGGGCTGTGATTAATGTGTGCTCAGCTGATGCTAAATGCAGTGCACAAAGGTTCTTGCTCTGTAATGTCAATAGTGTTGGCATCATGGTTTGCCTCTGTAAGGTTACACAGGTAATACAACAGTCAGCACTTCACCCTTCTCCAAGGAAGGAGTTGAAGGATCCCTAAGAGCACTGAGAGCAGTCTATTTGCTCTTACAGCTCCCAGGCTCTCCTCGAGGAAAAGGAGTTCTGGAAGTGTGCTGCAGACCAGCTGTCTCACAGGGTGCAAGCTGAACCCTTTTCCTTTGCTGGACCTTGTCAGCACATAACAAACTTTGATCCATCCATCACCCTCTCATTACATCAGCTCACGAAAATGGCTGACTGGAATCAGCATAAAAAACATTTTAAATTGTGGCTATTTCTCTTGGACACCACCTGTTCACACGTGTTCAGCCCCTCAGTGGCCCTTAGATTGTAGTTGGAATTTCATGTATTGTTATGTGTTTGTTGTCTTAGCATAATTTGTCATTTGCTGAGAGGTACACGACAGTTGTGGTCAGAATTTGCCATGTGTATAACAAATCATTTCACACCAAGTTGAATGACATTTAGATACAAAACTGATAGGCATTTGCTTTAGGTTTGCTGTTGCATTCTGAATAGTAACCCTGGTTTGAAGAAAGCCCATTTAAATTCCAAATATCCTTGAAATTTTTGTCTCCTTTCATGTAGTTTTAGGCAAAAGAATTTCCAACAACCTGGGAAGTTAGGGTTTTTTAGTTTCGTAACATGACTAAGCATTCCCTTGACATTCAGTCATGTGCATTTCTCTTTTGCTGCCTTTTAATATCCAAAGCAATGCCTGGAAAGTGTGAATCTTACATGGTAGACATGGTCCAAGATCTTATATTTCTGTCAGAGGTGTATTTTAATTCTAATCATGGTATTATCTGACATACTGGTTTGTAAATATCAGTAGAAATAGATTTCTTTCAGCTTCCTTGGGATGATCTGTTAAGTTCTTTCCGAAGCTGAGAACTTGGCCTTCTTGAAACAATGGGAGAATCAGTAGTGATTACTGTGCAAAGCTGAAAATGGTATGAATGGCATATGCTGTTTTTAATTTCTACTTAGATCTGTCATACCAAACCCCAAAGTAAACAAACTGAGCAACTAATGTACACAGAAATGCTATTGTTGTGTTTACTTGCAACATGTTCCCCTGCCCAAGGTTCTACATGGAAATGTTTTCCTTCAGCAGATTTTATCTGCTCTTGTGATGTACAGCGAATTGATGGCTCCATGCGAGCACAATTTTCAGTTCATTTGTTGGGCTGTGTGATGTCATTTGAGGCAAAAATACTTATTTACCACCATCTTTACTTTGGCTTAATCTTCCATTGCTTAGCTGCTTGCTCACAGTTCTTCTCCAAACCTGTGTATAAGTGTTCAGTTTCTGCAAAGGTGAACCACAAAAAAAAAGAAAAAAGATTAATGGCATCAATGCCTATAATTTATTCCTTGAGTAGTAATAAGTACATGGAGTCCTTTCCAGCCACGTGTGCTCATTGTTTCAGCTGATGTGATTTATGCAGTGAAATAAGAGTCTGGCTCAGGGAATTGAATGCTGCAGGACAAGGAATGAGATTAAGCTGTATTAAGTCTCTGAGGGCAGAATATCCAGTTGTAGCAGGGGTGGGTTTAACATTTTGCTTCAGAAAAGCAGTTACTGCAGAAGTAAACATTTCCTGACTAACCCAGAAGTAGGTAATGTGTATTGGCAGGTTTGTTATCATCAAATCTAATTAAATTATGATTCATATAAGTGAGAGCTTATCTCTGCTCTGGTGTCTGTGTTCCAAAGGACTGTTTGGAACATGCTTTCACAGTCTGGTTTAAGGAATTAGCAGTAAATACAACTCTTCCTACAGAAGTAAATCCAGTCTTATTTTTACCCATATGTAGGATTTGATGTTCTGGTTCCATTTTCAGTGTGATCATGTTTTTAAACAGAAAGCATTGTGTTTGGGGAAGATCTGTAGTGGGTGGGGTAGAAACAATTTCTGTGTTCTACAAAATAGTAAGTAGAATTTATGGGGTTATTAAAACCTCAGTTTGGCAAACAGCCCTAGAGTTGCATCATCCTGTGCTCATTATCTTTTTCTGGCTCCTGACCTTGCTCCAAGAAACACTATGCTTTTAGTTATCCTTTCACTCTAAACTTGTAATTTGATTTTATTATTAGATTATTAGCAGGAAAAAACACTTGGAAGTTTCATACCAAAAATGAATATTCTACAGTTTTATTGCAGCCTCAGCATATGATTCTTCAGATAATCAATGCAGTCACTCCAGGGTTTGCTGGATGCTCAGTGCAGCTACATATCACACAGAGCTGTGGATTCAGACCCACAGCACTGCACACTGAGGACATTTTTTTCCATTTTTAATATATTCTAACACTCCTTTTAAGAACTGCTCAGCCTTTTGTCTGCATAAATGCCTTAACTCTGCCCTGGTGCTGAATAATACTGTGCAGAGGAGGCAGTGGCAGGGAGTTTGTTGTTTTTGACAGCACCACTAGAAGCATGAAATGTTTCTGAAGGATTGGCAGAGCCTTGGAACAAGGGCTCAGGAAATGACTGGATTGGGTGTGGAAGACAGACACCGTCCAGATTTAACACACAGACTACTGAAACACTTGAAAACAGAGGGCAGGAAATGGTATCATAGGATGGACCAAAATGCTGCCCAGGCCCCAATTGTCTGTACAGAGTGTGATTGTCCTGCAGGTTAAACTGGGCTCAGAGCAGCGTTGGCGTGTGAAGGTAACTCTGGCAGCTCAGGGAGTGATAAAGTGCTGCTTGTTATTACACTAAGCCCAGACTTCACTTCCTTTGTACAGTAAGTTCTGTAAATGCTCTGGCATTTTTGCTGAGAAAGGGAGGTCCTGGAAGAAAGTTTGAGATAGAATTTGGTGAAAATCATGCTGTTTGCTCATATTTTCCCTTCCTTGTGTCTGTTTCCAAATCCATTGGATTTTTCCCCTGTCCATTGTGTAGGATGGCTCTGGCAGCCTGGTGCTGTGCTCATTTACCATGGAGAGGTGTTGGTGCACAACTGTGTCTAGCAAAATCGTGATTCTACAAAAACTGTCTCGGTTTCAGGCACCTCAGGGGCAGCACAGAACCTCATTTCTCTTTCTGGCTGGTTGGTTTTCCCACATGACCCAACTGTGTTGAGTTTTCTCCTACCAGTCAAGAGCACGTTTAGCTCCAGTGTGTATTCTCAGCTCCAGCCCAACTTTCCAGCCACTCCAGCTGAATTTTAGCACTAAGCTAGAAGCATCTGAGCAAATTCTACTGTTTTCTACAGAGGAATGTAGATGCTTTAATCACAAAATGAGGTTTTGCTGTGGTTTTTAATATAGAAGGAAGAATGTTGACATAAACCCCTTTTTATTTCTGCCATGTTCCTTCTTTCCCCTGTAACTTCTGAGTTAAAATATCATATTCCCACATCTCCTATACAAATGCTTCAGGAAAGTACTAAATTAGAATAACTCCTCCTTGCTCTGTTAACCTTGAAAACCTCAAGGGACGTCGCAGATCATCCATGTATGGTCAGGCTTTTGGCACAGGAGGAAATCCACAAAGTAAATCCAGAATTGAAATTCTGCCTTAAAAGCAGTGAGTTTTCTGCTCATCTATGTGCACAAGAGTCTTGTGGCTGCAAATTCCAGTAACTTCTACTCCCATTTTATTTATTTCAAAATCGTTAGCAATAACTTTGTCTCCAAAAGACCTTTTTAAAGCTCAGTGGAATATCTTCAAATCAGCACAAGAGCTGATTCTTACATTAATCTTTGCTTCTTTCAGTTTCTGAGCTGGTGATGTGTTTGATCCTTTTATGGTGGAGAGGGAAATGATGAGGATTGTGTTTGGCAGATCCCCCACCCTGGGACAAGGGTCAGGAGGAATGGAGGAGGCTCAGCAGCATCCTGGGGAATTCACACTGAGGTTCCCAGCTGAGTATCTCACTAGTACCACTTACTACCAGTTGCCTTCGTCGTCGTGTGTTGTGCTTTTACTGCTCCATGTATTGTTCTTCCTTCTTGCTATGCTTTTGAAGCCATAAAAATTGTGGCTCAAGAAGGTAGAATGTGACACTGACAACTTCCTTATTTTAATTGCTTTTAGATTAATATGTATTTAATGGAATAAATTGGATGGGGCATAGGGGCCTGTTCAAATTAGAGTCATAACCCAGAATTGGTGCCAGCGCGGCGCTACGGGCGCCTGGGAGAGAATTTCCCACACAGTGAACTTTGTCTCCTGGACTTCTCCCTGATTGGGACTATAAAAGCTGCTTTCAGAGCTGCAGTGTGAGTGCAAACAGAATCTTACTATGAATTGTGTTTATTTATACACACACACAGAGGGTCTGTAGGGTGAACCATAGGGTTCCCTGTTGTGAAACTCTCCTTAACCCCTTTTTTTTCCCCCTCTTTGCAGCTGAATAAGGTTTGTGTGTTTTGGGAATTGTTGCTATAAATATGATTCTGTGAGTGGAATGTGGCTTTAAATTTTTTTTTCTGATAAAAATATTTTGGTTAACATGATTGGTGCTTTTGTCAGTGCAGGAAAATAGGGGATTAGGCACTTCACTGATTTACTGTCTGGTTACTGCTTTCTGATCGGTTTGGAGCATTAGCTGAGGCCTCTCCCTGAGCATATTCAGCTCTGGGAGGTTTCAGTGCTGAATCCCAGACCTGGAGGCTTTGGCTGGCCTAATTCCACTGCAAACGAGTACCAGGACTGAGGTAGACAAAGATCTATGTAAAATAAATTGATAAATGACCTGACATTGATAAATTGCTTAATATGTGCCATTGATAAATGGCAAAATGACAGGTAGAGCTGGAGGGAATTTGAGGGGAAAGGATTGTCAAATACAATAATCAGCATATATTGATGATAGTGAAATAGTCCTGCAGGTCTTGAAGATATTTGGAGAACAGGAATAGAAACAGAAACTTTGAGAGCTGAGCTTTTTATTCTCCCCAACAACAATGGAGTGGAGTTGGTGCTGGGTGGGGGTGGGACCAAGTGGGTTGTGCAAAGCCTGAGCCTTGTGCAAGCTCAGCCTGGAGGAACTTCAAAGGGCACAATAAACCCAACGGATGTTATTAGAAATAGTACTTTGGCAATTTGCTCCTCTCAGCATTTAAGCTGCCACAATGTGTCCTTGAAGTGATATTCCCTTTGCATATTGATCTTCTGGTGAGAGTGGTTTGTGTCTGGTCGATGAGTCAATCCTGAGCCTCTGCTGAGAGTTTGTTATCAAAGTTTTGCAAAAGAAATATTTCATAACTGAGACAGGAGCACCAAACTCTTGTACTGCTGCATCTCCTCAGTCTTATAGTCCATGTGTTTGTCTTCTTCCAGGAAATGGGTTTGTGAATTCTCGAGCTTCACCGAGTCTACTGGGAACTGGTGCTGGTGGGAATGGCTTGGGCAAAGTGATGCCTACAAAGTCTCCACCTCCCCCTGGAGGAGGGAATCTCGGCATGAACAACCGCAAGCCTGACCTCCGTGTTGTCATCCCACCCTCCAGCAAGGGCATGATGCCACCACTGGTGAGTTGGAACATTTGCTCTGTCACTGTGGAAATGGAGTGTTGTGTCCACTGGCACAGGGAGGAACTGTCCCACCTGCTTACCACAGGGTGCAGTGAGAGAGGTGTTTGTGCTCTGAAATGTCACTGACGAAAATCAAACTTATAAAGTCTGACCTGGGGAGAAGTTACATTTATAAGGATTTTTTTTAGATGTAAAATAGCATCCTGACCTAAATGGGGCTACAGTGCAATCCTAGACATAGACATGGAGATTTTGGTGGTTTGCTTTGACATCTCACTGAGTTGGTCCCGAGAACTCTGTTGGTTTGGAGGATGTGGGTTTTAAAAAGGGTTATGCATTACTCTGTGGAGGAATGGCTGATCTTCCTGGGGATGTGAACTCTATTAATGTGCCCTAAAGCACATTTTGTACCTGTGTTTCCCGGGCTGTAATGACTGTGGGCTGTGAAGTGTCGCTTCAGCGGTAAGGGTGGTCTGAGAGAAGCACTTGTTTGATGTGGTGTGCTGGAACATGACCTTGTGTGTCCTAGGGTGGATGTCATGTCTTCAGGGAGGGCATGAAAGAGAACTGAGGTGCAGGCTCAGCCCCTGTCTGTACCTCTCAGTGCCACTGTGCAGTTTGGCATGTTGGCAGTGGTGTTTGTTCAGCCCAGATTTGGAATAGCACACGAGTTTCGTGTCAGCCATGAGGCAACCACAGCCCTGAGCCCAGAACAGGTCTTTCAGGAAGGGTTACTCTATATTTCCTTTAATTTACTTGGCCAAATCCTTTGGTCTTAGTCTTTCTCTGTCATGTAGAAATTTTCGACATCTCTGCCTACGTTTTCTGTGCATGAAGAATGGCCCATGACCAGGAGGTGCAGGATGTAAATAGCACAAGTTCTCCCTGTGCAATTCTGATTTGTTTTTAAGCTGCCACAAGTGCTTACAGTTGTTACTGGTATTTATGATGAATAATACCAAATTAATCCAAGTAACAAAAGCTATAATTAGCCTCAGAGTAATGATTCTTGAAGTTTTAGGTTTTTCTAGGAATACTGAAGTGAGGGAGAGATAGGAAGTGCACTGGCTGGTAATTAAAATGAAAATTACCCTTTTAATTAGGTATAGAAGCAAGAAGAGGATCATGATAATGTAGCTCTGATGTTCGTGGTGCACAGCACCTATTTACTGCTGTGAAGAACAGCACAGCACTCAGTTTAGGTTTTGTCTGTCTGTTTGAGGGGATTGGAAGGAGATTTAGAGCGGAGATGTTGGCATGGAATGATGGTTGTGTGTGAGAAGTATTTGCTGCTGAGCTGGTTGATTGGATCAGAGCAGCCGGAGGCTCCACATCTCCATGTGCTGTCAGTGTCCTTGGGGTCACCGAGCCCTTCTGCACTCCTGGCTGTGTTCTGCACTCACACGAGTTACCTGGAATACTACATTTCTCTAGTGTTACTTGCAGAATCAGGTGGCAAATTCACATTATTAATGAAAATGAATACAAATCCTGAAGCGCAAACGTGACTTTTTTCTGTGATTTGAAGCACTGCTATTTTTAGTAACTGTGTTATCCCTCTTGTTTGCTGAGTACAGTCGGAGGAGGATGAATTGGAGTTGGTGAGTTTGGGCTGCTGTTTGCTGCGAGACAAAGATGCTGGAAATGTCTCTCACTCCAGCTCTGTAACTGTAGTTTCATTCCATATTTTAAACCATTCCAGTGTTCCCTTGGTAGCAGACAAAAATACATTTGTTTTATCAAACTCAAACCCAACCAATTCAAGCTGAAAACACATCCAAAGTCAGCACTTGCCATTTGTAAACCTCTATTTTTTTTTCCTGAAAAATGTTTCTGTTTTTCTTGGAGGGAACATTGGAAAAGAGCCTTAAAAGTAACTGTCCATGTGTATAGGAGATGTACTGTATGTCAAATACAAATAACCACTTAACCATCCTCTAAATTCTTGGAATATTTTTAGAATGTGGCTTCACTCCTGAAGTTCTTCAGGTTGTAACACAAGCTCTGTGTTACTTCTCTTATTTTCAAGGAGATGACATCACTGTTGGTGAGGTCACCTTTCTGGAGCCTGGAATTATTTCATCCTGCGTGAGAGTATCACACCACAGGGCTGTTCCCTGTTTACCAGAAGGAACAGAGAATTGCAAATGAATAATTCCACCTTTTTTAATTTTTTTTTAAATTTTATTTTTCCAGTGGAAAGACTGTCTCCTTTTGAAAGGAAACTCTTGGGATTTGCCTGGATTCTATTTCTTTTTTCCCAAAAGGTTTTAACATTTGGCATTCTGTCTGGAAAATTAAGGCTAAAATAATTCATAGCTTATTTTTAGAGCCATTTGCAGATTGTGGAGCTGCTGTGGCACAGACCATGCAGGAGATACTGCATCATTGGCCTGTTGTAGACCTTGATTTGGTTTTGAACATGGACCTGTTGCTAACATGAGGCTCTGATTGCATGAAAGCATGGAAAATGTAGTGATTTAGATGAGTTTCCTGATGAATGCATGCTGGTGGGTGATTTTGACCTGAAACAGGAGAAACAGGTTTACAAAAGTAAAGGAAAATGAGTTGTGAAAGTCAATATTGGAGGTTTTAAGGTTCATTGGAATGAATCAGCAGCTCAACAGCTCTCACACATGTTCCTCTCACCTTCAGAGAGAAGTGTCTGTGTCAGCGCAGGAAATAAAGCTCAGTGTAAAAACACTTAATCAAGACGATATTGCAGTTGGAATTACAGCAAAGTCCCTGGAATTGAGGTGTTCCTTCTGGCCCACATTGCTGCAGTGCCAGAGCAGCGAGAGCTGCCGCAGGCGCTGCTGTCGCATCCCGTGTGGAGCTTGGGCCATCTAGTGGCTCCAGAGCCCGGGGTGGCTGTCAGGAGAGAACTCACACAAAGAAAGGTGCAGTGCCTTCCTCAAACGGTGACGAAATGGGAACTACACCGGCAGCTCTCTTGCTGTGCCACTTCCCGTGCTGGGAAGCAGCTCCAGCTCCTGTCTGTGAGCACTGGAGCTGAGCACTGACTGTGAAAAGTTACAAATGGCAGCATAGCATGAAAGAAAGATCCTGAATCCTTCCTGTTATGCTTTCACCAGTCTAAGAAATTAAAAGAAAAACCTTGAAATTTGTCATGAACCTCCAAGTACAACAAATCTTGGACACACCTAAATGTTTCTTAGTGTCTTTTTATGGCTGAGTGTTCAGGAATTATGTTCAGAAATAACTACCTCAGAAAACCACCTTTATTAGCCACTCCACAAAAAAAATTCCCATGGGGAAATCCTTTGGTCTGGATTGTTTCCCAGTATATTCCTCTTAACTTTTCCATTATACACTAATCCCAACTTTATAGGCTGCCATCCAAGAAAGCTTTGGAGAGAGGTCAATTCCTGACAGACACAAAAATCTGCTCTAATAACATCCCTTTATGCCAGATAAACCTGGTCAGGGGGAGATTTTCAGAAGTGCATAAGTGATTTAAAGGGATCAATGACACAGGAAAGCAGTGGGACTTTCTCTGGGACTTGGAGCTCTGGAATCTGGGAGCTCTGGGGCAGAGTGGGCACATCTGCCAATGTGTGTGTTGGGCAGCAAATGCCAGAGAGCCCCCAAATGCCCAGGAGACTGAGAGGTGGGAGTGCAGCAGCAGCTGGGCACGGGAGGGAAGCTGGAGCCTGTGGAAAGCTGCAGCTAATTTTAATAAGGAAGATGTAGTATAGACTTCTTTCTTTAAATGGGATTGATACAAGATTGATAACCCTCAATTCATCTTCACAAATTTAAGCTTCAAATTGAGCACAGCCCCATTTCTGTACCTGCTCGTTCTGGCATTATCAAGGCAACGATGCATTTTTAATGCTGCTCCTTCTCTCAGGACCAGAGCAGAGGTAAAACTGAAATGGTGTAGATCCTGCACTACCTGTGCACCTGCCTGAAACAAGGGAGAATAGTGGAACTGCATCTGTTAAAGCTGAAAGAGGAACCCTACGAAGGAGATGAAAAACTGCTGCTTCCATAGCAAATATTTTCTCATAGCTACAGAGAGGTTTGCTTTAAAAACTATGTCCAGCAGATTGGAACCCAACTCCCTGGCTGGGGAATGGTCTGTCAGAATGCAGAAACACAGAGGGCAGGGACTGCTGCTGCTGCTGAGACTTCTGCAGATAAAACTCAATATCTGTTGTTTAAAACTACAAAACTAGCACTTTGTGTTCCTGACAGTGTCTGGCATGGCTAACCCATGTAGAACCTCCTGTTTTGAGGGAAGATTTGCAGTTGCCTCCATGAAGAGCAGAACATTGTGCGACAGCAGCTCTGCTGTCTGGTGCTGTTCACCACAGGGTTTAATTCAAGGTTTTCTCCACAGCAGATTTGGTTAGAGCTTAGTTTGAGTGATGTGTTTGCTGCAGATGTTCACTCTGGTGTATGGGAAAGAAAGACTGTTATTAAAAAGCCAAATTGTGCCCACAGTTAGGTGATGTGAGACAATCTAGTTTAGCTATTTTTCCTGTCAAAAGGCACAGTTGCTCTGTGTGAACTCAAATGTCATTTGCTTGGAAACATATCTGCATTATAACAAGTACTCTCTCGGTTTCTCAGGAACCATGGGAACAGCAAGATTATTTTCTCACTGAAGTCTTATCAACACAAATTTAGAAGATCTCTGTGTTCCTTTCGGGACAGGTGTAGTCAGCACAGTGTCAAAACTGGCAGCTGAAATTTGGGAAATTGGATAAACAACTGTGAAGTGGGAGAATCTCTTCTGGTGGAACTGCACCTCACCATCTGCACTAAAACCCCTATAAAAATAACACTACAAACTCTTAAATCACTTAAGAACTTCTGAGAATTGCTGTGTGTTTCCCTAAGAAGTTGCATTATTTGTGTGTCCTGCAGCTCTAACACTGTTGCCATCTGCATTGCATGCTCAGGAGTGGCCCAGGGAGTCTCAGTTCATTTTTCATTTCAGTTTGCTGAGATTGTTTTGGTTGTCCTGAAGTATTTCAGCTTGTTTAGAAAATCTATCCTGACAAAAGGATTTATTCCTGACCAAACCTAAACCCAAGCAGCACATTGTCATGGAATGCTCTTTGTATTAGCAGCTGGTTTTCCCTTGTTGCCACGGATCTCACAAGCTCTGTTGTTATCTTTCATCACTTATAGAACACCCAAAGGATAAGCAGTTCTCAGTCCACACAGCCTCTTGCCACCCCCGTGGTGTCGGTGACAACTCCGAGTTTGCCTCCGCAGGGACTGGTGTACTCGGCCATGCCCACTGCCTACAACACTGGTAAGGCCTGGCTGGGGTGAGGGTTGGGACTGTGGGGTCTGCAAGGCTTCTGTGATTGGCATTTCTGTGGCACTGTGCTTTATTTCCCTCCTCAGCCCAAGTGAAGGCTCTTACTCATCACAGCTGAGCCTTCAGCTTGTAGAGTGTGTAAATGTTGAGACTTCCATGGGGAAGGACTTCCCATCAGGCTGCAAGTGCAGGGAGACACAGTGACATCCATGGCTCAGGGCAGGAGCATTCCAGAGATCCAGCTGGGAGCTGGAATGCCTTACATTAAGGTTTATCTCTTCTTTAGGTACTTCTCTTGTCTGCAGGACCTTAAAACTACTTCTTATCCAAGCTGGGGGTGATGGAAGGAATTTGGTAATATTGTTGTGATAAGTGGTTTGTTGGTTTGGAAAGGAGTTCATGAAGGTCAAGTAACAAGTGATAGAAGAGGAGATGACCTCAGGTGGTACCAGGGGAGGTTTAGGTTGGATATTGGGAAAAATCACTTCACCAGAAGGGCTGTCCAGCCTGGCACAGCTGCCCAGGGCAGTGCTGGAGTCACCATCCCTGGAGGGATTTAAAAGCCATGTAGATGTGGCACCTGGGGACGTGGTTAGTGGTGGCATTGGCAGTGCTGCGGGAAAGGCTGATGGTCCTAAAGGTGTATCTTCCAACCTCAGCGGTTTTCTGTGGTGCCTCCTACTCTGTCTCCATCCCAGCAGAGATAATTTTCACTGCAGTCTCAAGGTTCTTTATTTGTCACAGTCCCTGTATGTAATCAGGGAAGGAATTTTTGTAATCATTTTCCTGGAAGGCTGCAGCCCTGATGGCATCAGCTTGATTATCTGTGCAGCAGAGTTTAATTTTCAGTTGCACCTGCAGAGAAGCAACATTGCAGAGAAGTGTCAGTGAATTCTGTTCGTCAGTCAAAGCAGCTGTTGGCTTAAAACTGAAGGGAAAGCAAAGGGAATAATTCCCAGTTTGCTGTTCTTTAGATGAACTCTACTTCAGACATTCAGATGTCAGTGCTGTAATTTGTTAAAACATGGATTTTGGAAGGGGGGACAGGGACACAGGTGTGCTCCAGGGGTGGCTCTTCCTGGAACAGAGCAGGAGCTGCCCCAGTGTCAGAGAGGGATTTCATCAGGCCTCAAAACGTTCCAGCCCAGAGCTGAGCCGGTGGCAGCACTGGTGGCACCTCTGCAGTGATGTGGTCAGGAAAGGGTAAAACATGCTGTGCTGGTCTGCAGTCAGTGACCTTATGGTCTTGTTCTTGTGCAAAGGTCAGGACAAAGCACAAAAAACTTCAAAAGCCAAAACCTGAGCGATCAAGAGGTTTTGTAATCCCCATTCTGTGCAAGGGAGCAGCGTTAGGAGTCTGTGCTGCTGAACGTGGAATAGAATCATAGAATCAAGCAGGTTGGAAGCATTGTCATTCCTCCCCCTCCAAAAATGGGATTCTATACATTTTCTCTACTTTTTTAGCTCTGGAAGTCTTCCCTGCAGTTTTTAGTTTAGCCAGCCAAGCACCTCCCATCTGCTGGTATCTGTCTCTTGCTGTGTTAATGAGCTCATTAGCTGTCAGTGCCCCGCAGGCAGTGCCCGGGGCGGTGCCTGCAGCCCGGGGAGTGCCCTGGGGAGGCAGTGCTGCTGTCTGCAGGGCAGTGCTGAGCATCCTGCACCCAGTTCTGCCCCGAGGGAGTGGAGTCTCCAGCAGGGACTGGAGGAGCTGGTGGGCTGCAGGAACAGTGTGGTGAGCGGAGTGAAGGTTATGCTGGGTGACTTAGTTTGGATTAGAAGCAGAAGTTGGGTGAACACACACATCCTGGTTTGACTCTTGCCCCAAAGGTTGTTCATGTGTTGTATTTAATGGCTGTTTAAAGCAGTTTGGTCCCTGCTCAGAAGACTCACACTGAGTGTCACCTGTCACCTACCAAATCCCTTTGTTCCCACGCAGGGTCTGATGTTGTTTTGGGAATCATAGAATCACAGAATCAGCCAGGTTGGAAGAGACCTCCAAGATCATCCAGTCCAACCCTACTGTGGTCACTAGCCCATGGCACCAAGTGCCACATCCAGTCTCAGCTTGAAAACCTCCAGGGATGGTGAACCCACCACCTACCTGGGCAGCACATTCCAATGTCTGATCACTCTCTCTGTAAAAAATCTCTTGCTAATATCCAACCTAACCCTCCCCTGGCAGAGCTTGAGTCTCTGCCCTCTTGTCCTGGGAGAAGAGACTGACCCCCACCTGACTCCAAGGGGGAAGCAGTGCTGTGTGCATCCCTCAGCCAGGATAACCTGTGGGCTCTGAGGGGCTGCACTGTGGATCTCGGGAAGCAGCAGAGACACTGGAAACTGTGGTGCCCTGTGCAGTGGACAAGTGCTGGTGTCACTGGGATGTGATGCTACACCCAACCCACTTCCTTTGATAATGCAGCAATTTGTGCAAAGCTTTTAGCCTTTAGTGGTTTTCAGACACTTTAGAATCACTATTAGATTGAGCCTTTCAGGGGATTTGCAGGAAGAAATTTGATGTTGAAACCAAATTGCCATCTGGGGATTCTCAGGGCAGTCACCACTTACGTAGCAATTTCAGTTTGGCAGTTCAAGGACTAAGATAAAATTGAAATACCTAAATTGTTTCTCTGGATTGATAGAGGGGTTTTTTCAGAGCTGGAAGGAATAGATTCAGCTCTTGGATTCTTAATTAAAACACTGGTCTCAGTTTTCCACAAATATCCTACTTTCTATAATCTCTTTTGCTGGAGAACTTCTTTCAGCAGATTGCTGGGGGAAGGGCCAGAACCAACTGAGTTACTGGTTCTAAACCAGTCCAGGCAGTAAAACCAATATTTAACCCTCACAGCAATCAGTTAATTAGTAACTGACACCCGAGCAGAGCACACCAAGCCATGAATTGTATTCCTGCCCTTAGGTCAGTCGTTTCACAGGGGCACAGACTCCAGAGGTGCTCGTTGGTGGGGTCCCAGCAGCAGTGGTTTCCATCAGCAGCAGCTGTTTGTCTGTCTGACTTCTCCATCTCCCCTCGGGTCACTCCTGTGGCAGGGGGTGTCCTGCTGTTAGTGCCAGCAGATATGGGGAATACTTAGGGAATGGCAGTGCAGCTCATTGTGTGGTGACATGAATATTCTTTGGGAAAATATCTCCTCAGACCCTGTCATCAGACACATTCTGTCTGGAGTACCAGAAGTTAATTGTGCGTTATCATAAAAGCTGTAACTGCAAAGGAAAAAAATTACTCGGGAACTGAATTCCTATAAATGTTTTCTTCAGGTCTGTTCTGACAGAAATCCCCTTGGCACAGCACATCCATCTCCAGTGCTGGCACTGGCTGCACTTGCTCCAGGCCTGGCTCAGTGTGTGTCCTGCTCCTTGGAGAGCTGCACTTGTAATTTTTAGTGTTTAGATTTAATTTTAGTCTTGCAAAAGGGCCTTTGGGCCCATCAGTGTGGGACAAACCCTTCTGAATCGCTGCAGAAATGGGTGAGGGTTCTCAGAGTTCCAGTGTAAGTGTCAGCTGAGAAGAAAGGAAACAAAAAGGCACCTTAAGAGGCTTCACCTGCTGAGAGCAGCTGGGACTCCTGAGGTCTTCAGCAAGGATCCTGCAGGGATGTGTGTGTCTCTGTGACAGCACAGGGGTCTGCTGCCCTGGATCCTCCTCCCGTGGGCTGATGGGAATGGGGAGGTTGTTCAAGAAAGCTCATCTCAGGAGAGAGAGGTCATAGTGGTGGTGGCATTTCAGGGTGACACAAACCAAGCCCAACCTAAGCAGAATTTGGTGCCTCTACTGGCAGTACAGTTTGGCCATGTTCTCAAGAGACTAGGGGTGGTTTTAAGGACACTCTATTACAAAATAATTAAAAACAGAGAAGTGTTTGACTTTGTTTTCAAACCTGAAAAAATCACGAGTGATAACAATCAAGTGAAAGTAGGTTCAGTTCTGTGAATGAAGTGAGAACTGACACTGCAGCACCAGAGCCAAGAGCCAGAGCTGCTGCCTGTGGCTCAGCAATAGGTTCTGTTTTCTAGTCTCCATTTAAATTGTACTTCTAAAGAATGATATTTTCTAGCTCTAAATACAGAGGTTTCTTTGTTCCTTTGCTACAGAGGTGACAGTTTGATCAGACAGGAGTGCTGCTGTGGAGAGAGGAAGGATGTGATGTGTTGCAGTAGGACTGCACAGAGGTCAGAGTCTCCTCATCGCAGTGGCTTTGGCCCTGCTGTCCCAGGGGTTGGGTTTGGACATGGGCTGTAGGACCATGACCTGTGTTGTGCCATGAGCCACCAGATGGTTCCTGTGTCTTGTCTGAGGAGCTGCTGCCTCCCACCTGGGAACCAGCCACAGTCTGCAGGGAATTTGGGAAAGAACCACCGTTCTGTGCAGTGACTCGTGGATTCTTCCCTTTTTGTCTCATTTTGAAATGTCTATGCAGACAAAACTCTTAAAATACAAATAGTCTTACTGTAAGGTACACACACACATACAGTGCATAAATGTGTTGTACCTGTGGGTTTGGAAGAAGCTCCAACACAGCAACATGTAGGAACGGAAAGGATAATGCAGAAATCCTTGTCATTTGGAGGCTTCTGTCCTGTTAGCTCCCTTTGAGGTTGGGAGCAGTGCTCCCAGGATTCCGAGTTTCCACGTGTGGATTCCTTTGGCTCTATTTGTTTTGGGCAGAAAGCCTTTGTGTTCGTGTGTGCCACATAAATTCTTACGTATCTACGTATGGATGAGTATGTATATGTTTAAAAATCTATAAATTACTCTCTCGTTTTTCTCTCTCAGATTACTCCTTGACTAGTGCAGACCTGTCTGCCCTGCAGGGATTTAACTCCCCAGGAATGCTGTCCTTAGGGCAGGTGTCTGCCTGGCAGCAGCACCATCTCGGTCCAGCAGCCCTCAGCTCTCTTGTGTAAGTACTTGGGGTGCTGGTGCACTGGGGGGCTCCTGCCTCTTCCACATGGATCATCTGCACCAGGGAATATCCAGCACGAGCCCGTTGTAAGCTCCTGCCTGTGCTGCCGGAGCGCTCCGTGCCGGTGTTTGTCCCTTTGGTCACCCCAGGCCTTCAGCTGATGAGCTGTGGCCCTGCAGGCACCTGCACTGTTCGGCAATAGGAAACGTTTCTGTTTGTTCTGAACTTCTGTTAATGCAGCTCAGACCTGTAATTAATGCTTTTCTCACCTCTGCTCTTCAGTCGGGAGCATTTATTTCCACGCTGGTTTGCAGCTGAGCCCGAGGCCACACACCCCAGCCACACACCCCGTCCCTCTCCTCCCGCTCCTCGCGTTTCCTCACGTGTGCCTCTTGGTTTCTCTCCCCAGCACTGGCAGCCAGCTATCTCAGGGTTCCAATCTGTCCATTAACACCAACCAAAACATCAACATCAAATCCGAACC